TTTTTTTTTTTTTTTTTTTTTTTTTTTTTTTTTTTTTTTTTTTTTTTACGCGTTTAAATATTTAAGAAAAAATGAATCTTTGTAGCTCTCGAGCTGTGAATTCCTTGACTGTTCAAAGAAGACCCGGTGATGGGGTGGTCCACCCATTTCCGGCGGGTCTAAGAGTACTTGTTGTGGATGATGACGTTATTTGTCTCACTGTACTGCAGAGAATGCTTCAGAAATGCCTATATGAAGGTATAATTCTTCACAGTTAAGCTGTGTTTGCCAGTGAATACGTTTGGGATTTTATGTAGTTTTTACATTAACTGACAACTCAAATATTTCCTGTTTGATTTCTGGATTGCTTTTTTAAATTATAAACGTGTGTTGAAGGAGGAGAATTTATGGAGATGGTTTCGATGTAATCATTGGCTTGTAGATGGTCGTATTTAGATCATAGTTGTAACTCTATTGAAGTTATGAATATCATTATTTATGTAGGAAGATGAACATGGTCAGTATTCATAACAGGCACCATAGTTAAGTTTTTTGGGCAGACTTGTATAATCTCATAATCTTTTACTTTGGTTATGTTATCTTGGAATTTGTTTAATAAGGAATCTTTTTTTCTGAATCTTGTCAGTTACAATACACAATCGAGCCGAGGCTGCATTAGAGTTGCTCAGGAAAGACAAAACTGGCTTTGACATTGTTTTGAGCGATGTTCACATGCCAGACATGGATGGTTTCAAACTTCTAGAGTGTGTGGGGCTTGAGATGGACTTACCCGTTATTAGTAAGTTCCTTATTCATTGGTTTCGGATACTTCCTGATATTAGGATTTAGGAGTTATATTCTGAGATTGGATTATTTGATTGATCAGTGATGTCTGCGGATGAAAGCAAAGATGTTGTCATGAAGGGTGTTACTCATGGTGCATGTGATTATCTCATCAAACCGATTCGCATTGAGGCATTGAAGAATATATGGCAGCATGTTGTTCGTAAAAAGAAGCAAAACCGGAAGGAAATAGAATTTGAGCAACCTGGAACTGAGGAAGATGGAGAACAGCAGCAAAACCCAGTCGAAGATGCTGACTACTTGTCTTCACCTTACGAAGAGAACAGGAAAAATTCCAATAAAAGGAAAGATGAGAAAGATGAAGCAGAAGAAATGGATGATACATCTACTTTGAAGAAACCACGTGTGGTTTGGTCTGTTGAGCTCCATCAACAATTTGTAAATGCTGTTAATCAACTTGATATTGACAGTATGATTTTTCTCCCTACTTTCTCTTGTCTTCCCCTCTTCATAATGTTTTTCACTGGTTGGTTACCAATTTTTTTTTTCTGTCTTAGATAGTTTTAATGTACGAAGCTCTTTTCTTTATTAGTTTATATTCTATGTTTCTTTCCTTTAATTCCACGGGAACAGACTGGACATGAATGGTTGTTCAGTAGATTGGAGGTTACTCTCTCCTAAACATATTAAGTGTATAGTTGATCTTGGAAATGAACTCTGCAGCACTAAAGCTTGGAAAACACCTTCAAGTTCTTTGTGTTGATTTAAGAACATTTGGGAACTGGAGTTCATCAAGTCTACTTCTGGGGTCTTTTTTTTACTCCCAAAAATAATGATGCTCTTCTCAAATTTCTATGTCAAGTAGAAAGGTTTTTCCCCTTAAAAGATGCAAGAGAGACTTCTTTTCAATACTAAAATTACTTCAGTCTATTCATTGTTTTAACTAGAGGCCGAGGCTCACTAAGCAACAGTTTATTTTTCTACAGAATCCTTCATGTACTCGTACTGTTAAATTGAGTTTTATTTAAACTCTAGGCTAGAGTTCTTTTAAGTTTCGAATTACAACAGGATTGATTTTCCCAGTGATTAAAGCTTTCCTTATTATTGTGGGTTTTGGAATTTTCTTAATTATTTAACTTTCCCAATTACCTAAGGTTTTTGTACCTTTTTATTTTTTTTTGGTATGGCTGAAGGTAGGAATCACTAGGTGAACCAGGAGTTCCCAACTAGGTTGAAACATCCTTAGAACCCTCACATTTACCCACCTCAACATATTATCAGAAGTTCAAAACAAACAGGTTTTTGTACTTTCTGTTGACTAATCATTTTTTGCTAGAATGGGTGTTGGAATCCTAAGGCTTGCCTAGCTTTTTATCGTTTGTGTTGAAGCCAAAACACTAAACCTGGCATTCACTTCGATCTCCGCTCATTTTCATTTCATTATTTCAATCTCGATTATTATTTGTTTGTTCGAGAAGCTAAATTTGGTGCTAGAGAACCTATTGTTCCAATTTATCATGGATATGCCACGACCAAGATATCCTACGTTAAGTCAAGCTCAACAGATGCAAAAGAATATCTAGGAATTTACACAAATCAAAAATTTGCATAGGGAGCACATAGAAACCTGAATAGAGGTATCAGGTTTCTGAAGTAAGCCACGGCCATTTAGGACCTATCAGAATGTGGCTTTCACTTTCAGGGATGGTCGTAATGTTTTGGAGAAGAATTTTAACCCTTACCATAATGTTGTAGCTCATGCTAGTCATGGGTATGATGGATTAGTAAAGCAGGTAGCATGTGTTCTTAATCTCAATTCTAGAGTTGGAATTAAAGTTTAAGTTTTTATGGAAGAATTAACACACAAGACTTCCTTCACTGGGGAGCTGGGTTGGAGTATTTTGAACGGATGAAGCTGATGTCGGAAGAAAGGTACTATTAGTGAAGATGAACTTAAAAAGGAGTTGTGCTGCAATGGTGGAAATTTTTGGAAGAGCACTGACTAGACATGGGAAACCTAAGATTCAGGGAATTGATGAAGGCATAATCTAGAAAGAAATTTTTGCTTACTAAGTATGTGGCCTTCTGTGAATAATACATAGTTCGCTTCCACAGGATCTTAGTTTTGACGAGCAAACCCTCAAATCGTGTAACTTTTTAGTTCGGGTTGACCTCTATTAGTCAGATGTGCAATTGATAATTCTTTGCTTGTGCGTACTGAGAATTGATATGAGCGAAGAGACGAGTATTACTCATTTTTCAAACCTAAATTATGCATATCAACAAGCTCTAACAGTAGAGAAATGGTGTGTCAATGCAGAGGTTGACAGCCTCTGATAACACATCTATTCACTTCTTTGATTAACATAAATATAATCTTTTTGGGAAGAGAATCTACTCAAACCACATCTTAAAGGGACCTAGCATGTAATGACATTGAGAATACGATCAACAAAGATGCTGAAAAATCAATTAAGTGTGAAGAAGGAAAGAAATTGTTATGTTTTGGAGCTGTGAGAGTTGTTGGCAACTATACTTCTCAAACTAGCCTTCAATTGTCACGAGATATACCCCACTTTTTTCCTAATGATTAAAGCTTTCATAGTTATTGTTGGTTTTGGAATTATCCCAGGCGTTAGAAGTTTACTAATTACATTAGGTTCCTAGTCAGAATAAGTTTGGAAGTTACAGAGCCTATTCTAGTTTTTTCTGAGATTTAAGTCTAAAGAGCTAAATCTCTGGTATTCAGTTTGACCAAAGCAAGTATTCCTTTGCCATTTCAATCTCTTTTATTGTTTGTTGGTTTAAGCCTGTTCGCATATCAAATTTTGTATCCGAGCAGCCATCATTCCTTATTTATCATGGCAATGAAATGAATCTATACATATCTGATTCTTGTCCACTCGTGGCTATATTTCTGCTGTCAAATACTTGCATTCATAATTTTTTTTCTACTACTTACAAATGGAAATGCTGATCTTGAAATTATTCTTATATGAAATATTCTCCTTGCTATAATGATTCTGCAATCATATGCTAGTATTCATTATTTTAAAACTCTGCACATGAATGCAGAGGCTGTTCCTAAGAAAATTCTGGAATTAATGAATGTTCCTGGGCTTACAAGAGAGAATGTTGCAAGCCATCTTCAGGTTAGATGAAAATTTCTTTTCAATTTCCCATTTACTATGCAGAAGAAACTTGCAAATATTTAGTATTTCGGTTGAATTGTATAAGCTTTTAATTGTTTTCATGTAGACATCCGTATTCCACTTCCTTTGGAAGATTCTAACAGAAGTAATTACTTGATGCAGAAATATCGTCTGTATCTTAGAAGGATAAGCGGGGTATCACAGCAGCAGAATGGATTCAATAGTTCTTTTAGGGGACCCCCTGATGTGACCTTTGGATCTATATCTTCACTCAATGGCCTTAGTCTCCAAGCTCTAGCTGCTTCTGGTCAGATTCCTCCACAAAGTCTTGCTGCAATCCAGGCAGCAGCACTAGGTATAGTGGCCAATAAATCTGCCATATCTGTGCCCCTAATTGATCAAAGAAATGTTTTCGGCTATGAAAATCAAAAGTTGAGGTTTGGTGAGGGCTATCAACAGCTAAATAATAATCGTAAGCAAATGAAGTTACTTCATGGAATCCCAACAAATATGGAACCAAAGCAACTTGCCACATTGCACCAATCTGCAGAGGCCTTTGGGAATATGCAAGTCCAATCTCAATCAAGCGAAAGCGGCTCTTTGATGACACAGTTGGCTCAACCACTATCAAGTAATCAAATTTTAAATGAAATTAATGGTAGTCATGTCTCGGGTCTTTCATCATCTTTTGGTCAACCTACTTTATCACAGCCCAATCCTAGTGGTGTTCTGACGAGAAGTGAGATTGATAATGTTTGTGGAGCTGTATACAGTTCCGTTTCTCATCCCTCTGTAACTGTAGATTTCTCCGTGAATCCCTGCACACAGTTGCCAGGTAATAGGTTTGCTCCTGTGAGTAACTCAAAGATGTCAACTCTTGTCTCTAAAGGGATTCTTCAAGAAGAGGCCAAGTCTGATACGAAAGGTTCAAGAGGTTTTCTTTCTAATTATGGTGTTTTTTCCAATCTGAATCAGAATAGAACCCCAGATTGGGGATTGCATAATGTTGGACCGGCCTTTGAACCCACACAACATTCAAATATGAATCAACAACTCAACTCATTACTCGCTGATAATACACATTGTAAGGCCAAAAAATTCCCTGATATGGGCTTCCAGAATAACCTATTTCCCGAACAGTTTGATCAGGAGGATCTTTTGAGCTCAATTCTCAAAGAAGTAAGCCTCTTGATTTTTAACCTTGGTGCAGCTTTTTTCTAGATTTTAAATGTCACACTAATGACTGCATTTCTTTTTACTAATCCGAGTATTTTCTTGCTGCTGCAGCAGGAAGGCACTGGACCAGTTGAAAGTGAGTTCAGTTTTGATGGATATCACTTGGACAATCTTCCCGTGTAAGAGTTACATATGCTGTTAGCTTACAGGAAGGCACTGGACCAGTTGAAAGTGAGTTCAGTTTTGATGGATATCACTTGGACAATCTTCCCGTGTAAGAGTTACATATGTTGTTAGCTTAATTTACTGTACATAGTTGCAGATACAGCTGAAATTGACCTCTCGTGATCCAAGGCTAGTGATTCAGTTTTTTACGTCTGCATTTTTCATTGTGAATGCTTTATGTGCGTCTTTCTTTGAAATCAAAACACGATATAACAATCGATCGGGTGGATGAGCTATGAACGAAGTTGAAAGAAGAAATGTCCATGATATGCAAAGCATGCATTCAAAATTTTGGTTGCAGTATGAAAGTATAGTTTTAGGAGAAATTTCGTTACATCTTTGTGATTGTTGGTGCTAGTCGATTTAGTTTGGGGTATAAATTT